TGTGTGTGTGTGTGTGTGTGTGTGTGTGTGTATGTGTGTGTGTGCGTGTGTGTGTGTGTGTGTGTGTGTGAGAGAGAGAGAGAGAGAGAGAACATCACCACCAGCCCTCCAAGGTTAGATCGGATCTCTCACTCTCTTCCTTTCTCCCACCATTACTCAAAATTCATATTAGTGGTCCGCAGGATTTAAAATTATGAGTTTAGTGGTCTCTGAGGTCCAAAACATTGGTGACCCCTGATCTAATCCAACTCCCCCACCCAAGCAGGAGACCCCACACCATTTCTGACAAATGGCAGTCAAATTCTTCTTGAAAGCCTCCAATGATGAAGCTCCCACAAATTCTGAAGGCAAGCTTTTCCATTGGTTGATTGTTTTCCCTGCCAGAAAATTTCTCCTTATTTCTAGGTTGAATCTCTTCTTAATCAGTTTCCATCCATTATTTCTCCTCTGGCCTTCAGGTGCTTTGGAAAATAGCTTGACCCCTCCTCTCTGTGGCAGCCCCTCAAATATTGGAAGACTGTTATCATGTCTCCCCTGATCGTTCTCTTCACTAGACTAGCCATGCCTAGTTCCTGCAACCATTCATCATATGTTTTAGTCTCCAGTCCCCTAATCATCTTTTTTGCTCTTCTCTGTACTTTTTCTAGAGTCTCAACATCTTTTTTATAGTGTGGTGACCAAAACTGGATGCAGTATTCCAGGTGTGGTCTTTACTAAGGCTTTATAGAGTAGTATTAATACTTCACTTGATCTTGATTGTATCCTTCTGTTAATGCAGTTTAGGGCTGCATTGGCTTCTTTGGCTGCTGCTGCACACTGCTAGCTCATATTTAAAGATCAGTCTCATGGAAAGGTTGATCATTATCAACCTTTCCATGGAATTCTCTCCTTCCGTATACTGACTTATTTTTTTCTACACAAAGATGGCCAATTCATCACCTTGCCAAGAAGAGCTTTCTCTAGTTCCAGAGTTTCTTAATGGAGTTCTTTACCTCTTTGTTCCTCAGAGTGTAGATGACAGGGTTGAGGAATGGGGTCACCATGGTATAGAGGACAGCAGCCAGCTTGTCTGTTGAGAAGCTGGAAGCAGGGCGGGTGTAGATGAAAATACAGTGTCCCAGGAAGAGGATCACCACAAGTAGGTGGGCAGCACAGGTAGAGAAGGCTTTGTGACGATCCTCGGCTGCTTGCCCTCTCAGCGAGATAAGGATAATGGCATAGGAAGTTACCAAGATCATGAAGCAAACTAGGGACATCAAACCACTGCTGGATATGATGAGAATGCTGATGAAGTAGGTGTCCATGCAAGCCAACTTCATGAGTGGGGGGATATCACAGAAAAAACTGTCTATGATATTAGGGCCACAATAAGAAAGATGGGTGGTGAGGAACGTCTGGATCAGAGAGTGAATAGTTGCCCCAACCCACAAGGCTCCAAGCAAACCAACACAGATCTTCATGTTCATCAGGTTCAAATACTGAAAGGGGAAGCAGATGGCAACACAACGGTCATAGCCCATAATGGTCAGGAGGAAGATCTCCGCTGAAGCACACAGGTGAAGGAAGAAAAGCTGGGTGATGCAACCCTCAAAAGAGATGACCTTCTGGTGGAAGAAGCAGTCGAAAAGCATCTTGGGCATTGTGACTGAGGAATGGCAGATGTCAATGAAGGAGAGGTTCCCCAAGAAGAAGTACATGGGAGTGTGGAGGCAGCGGTCCCGAGCCACCGTCACTATAATTAGGAGGTTGCCTGCTAGGATAAGTAAGTAGAGGATGGAGAAAATAACTGATAAAACCAGCTCCAGGTTCCGGTTATGGGTCAGTCCCAAGAACACAAAATAGGTCACTGTCTGGTTGAGGCCTTCCATTGCAATGGGGAGAAAGAGGTCCATTCAACCTAAAAAGAAAAAAATATGATAATTGTCTTCAACCATCTCAACTTATCAGATCAGATTAACACTATTGGCCCATATTTAATTGCTTGTCCACTAAGACTCCAAGATCCCTTTCATAGTTACTGCTACTATTCATGGGGACAACACCATATACATCCCAGGATTTCAGACATTTAGATCAGAGAGAATTGAAGAGACATCAGGTAAAACAAAAGGTGGAGGATTATGTTTATACATCTAGTCTCAGGATATAACTATAATATATAAGTTTTGTGATGAAAACTTAGAGTCCTTACACATCAACTGCAAGCCATTTTACTCTCCACGTGAGTTCTCCTCATTTCTCCTAATAGCTGTGTATGTTCCTCCACAAGCCTGTGTAAATAAGGCATTATGAACTCTTGCTGATCAAATTATGGAGGCTGAAGCCAAACACCCAGGTTCCCTTCCCATCATTTTAGGAGATTTCAATCAAGCAAATTTAAGGAAAGAGCTCCCAAAATATTTCCAGCATGTAAATTGCCCCATCAGAGTCAAAAATACTTTAGACCACTGCTACACAACAGTAAAAGATGCTTATAGGTCTTTATCACGAGCAGTTGTGGGACACTGTGACCACTGCATGATTCACCAAGCTGAAACTCCAGGCCTGCCTTGATTGCACTGATTGGAATGTTTTTGAAGATGCCTCTGCAGACCTAGATGAGCTCACTGATAGGGTAACATCATATGTTAGCTTCTGCAAAGACTTATGTGTATCGACAAGGAACCTGCAAATATATAGTAACAATAAACCTTGGTTCACAGCTAAACTTAAGCAGCTACGTCATCCCAAAGAGAAAGCCTACAGAAAAGGTGACAAAATGCTATACAATCAGGCCAGAAACATATTAACACGAGAGATCAGAGCAGCAAAAAGAGGGCTACTCTGAAAAGTTAAAGGATCAATTCTCAACAAATGAACCAGCAAACATGTGGAAAACTCTTAAAAACATCATTCGCTTCAGCAAACCTCCTTCCCACGCAGAAGGAAATGAATAACCAGCTGATGACCTGAATGTGTTTTACTGTAGGTTTGAAAAGAAACTACAGCCACTTATCTCCACAACCCACATCTCAAACATACCAACAACAGCCAAGCCTCCTACAACTGGTCCCAATCCATTGGGCTCACAACCTCTGGTGATCACAGAAAAAGAAGTGCAAGATCTATTACACAGACAGAAGCCAGGAAAAGCACCAGGGCCAGACAAGATAACACCTTCTTGTTTAAAAGTCTGTGCTGACCAATTGGCCCCCATCTTCACCCGAATCTTCAATAGATACTAGAGATGTGCTATGTTCTTTCCTGATTCTAACATTCGACCATCATCCCAGTGCCAAAGAATCCCTCCATCAAGGAACTGAATGACTACAGACCAGTTGCTCTAACATCTGTAGTTATAAAAATCTTTGAAAGGCTTGTGCTGTCCCACATGAAAACCATCATGGATCCACTGTTAGATCCCATGCAGTTTGCATACCAAGCAAATAGATCCACAGATGATGCTGTTAACATAGCTCTGCATTACATCCTACACCTTCTTGAATCTCCAAATACCTACACAAGGGTCCTCTTTGTAGACTTCAGTTCAGCATTCAATATCATCATTCCAGACACTTTTCTAAGTAAATTAAACCAACTAGCAGAACCTGAACACACTTGTAAGTGGATCATAAGCTTCCTAACAGATAGGAAGCAGCAGGTGAAGCTAGGCTGAATCACATCCCATACCTGTACAATCAGCACAGGGGCCCACCAAGGCTGTGTGCTATCTATTCTCCCTATATACCAATGATTGCATCTCAAATGATCCATTTGTTAAAATACTGAAGTTTGCTGATGACACAACAATGATTGGTCTCATTTGAGACAACAATGAATCTGCATACAGACAGGAGGTTATACAACTTGCCTCATGGTGTAACTGGAACAATCTGGAACTGAACACACTCAAAACCATAGAAATGATGGTAGACTTTAGAAGAAACCCTCCCATACTACCACCTCTTACAATACTAGACAACACAGTATCAATAGTAGAGACCTTCAAATTTCTAGGTTCTACTATATCACATGAGCTAAAATGGACACCTAACATCAAAAACTTCATCAAAAAAGCACAACAAAGAATGTTCTTTCTGCGCCAACTCAGAAAGCTCAAACTGTCCAAGGAGCTGCTGATACAGTTCTACAGAGGAATTATTGAGTCTATCATCTGCACCTCTATAACTGTCTGGTTTGGTTCTGCAACCCAACAGGACAGACACAGACTTCAGAGGATAATTAGGTCTGCAGAAAAAACAATTACTACCCACCTGCTTTCAACTGAGGACCTGTGTACTGCACGAGTCAAAAAGAGGTCTGTGAAACTATTTACAGACCCCTCACATCCAGGACATAAACTGTTTCAACTCCTTCCCTCAAAACAATGCTATAGAGCACTGCACATCAGAACAACTAGACACAAGAACAGTGTTTTCCTGAAAGCCATCACTCTGCTAAACAAATAAATCCCTCAACACTGTTCAACTATTTACAAAGTGTACACTACTATTACTGTTAATCTTCTCACCATTCTTTATCACCCATCTGCTCCCACTTGACTGTTTCCTAGTATGATTTGATTGTTGATTGTACCCTATGACTATCATTAAGTGTTGTATGTTATGATTCTTGATTCTTAACAAATGTACCTTTTCTTTATGTATACCGAGAGTATTTTCACCAAGACAAATTCCTTGTGTGTCCAATCACACTTGGCCAATAAAGAATTCTATTCCTATTCTATTCTATTTTATTCTATTAAGCCTGGTTTCACCCAGTTTATATGTATTCTGTGTTTCCCTGAAAATAAGACCCTATCTTATATTTTTTGCCACCAAAAAAGGCACCAGGTCTTATTTTCAGGGAATGTCATCCACTGACTAACCTCACTTGCATTCGTTACCCCTGGCCTCCTTTTCACCCTCAGAGGCCTTCAGGAGCTTCTTTTTCTGTGACCAGCAAGGCTTTCCTAAATGCCTCTGCAGCTGATAATAGCTCCAGATTGATCTACAGAGGCCTTCAGGAAAACCTTGCCAGCCTTCCCTGCTCCAGAAGAAATGCAGGTGATGGGGTGTGTGAAGCCTAGCTTCAACTGTCCAAAGATAAGTAGTAGGGCAGCTTCCTCCCCCATCCCCACCTAGCTTATTTTTTACCTGTGCACTCTGGAGTGAGTAGGATCTTAATTAGGGCTTATTTTGGTGGGCAAGGCTTTTATTGGGCACACATGTAAAAATCAAGCTAAGACTTACTTTCAGGGTAAATCGTATTTTTTGGAACACAGGGTACTTTTGGTTTTTCTTGCCTAAATTTAAGACTTTACTTTTCTCTACATTGAATTTCATTTTATTAAATAGTTAGAGACAACATTTGTACCCAGACACATTATCTTCATATAAACACTTCCTCTCTTGGTAACATATTAACACAACCCACTTCCTTCCTTCAGCAATGAACAGAGAATATATGTCAGAAGCAGAAAAAGATGTTATTGCCTTTATTGAAGATAAGGAAGGATTTACTGAAATATAGTACAACCAGATTTGTTTCATTGATCTTCCCTTCTTTCCAGCTGTTTGTCCTCTGTCTATAACATCTATTCATTCAGTGCTTCATGCCTACAACTAAAGTCGTGCAAGGGATTTAAAAAAAACCTACCCAGAACTTAGAACTAAGGAGAAATTTCTTGACAGCAAGAACAATCAACCCATGGAACAGCTTACCTCCAGAAGCTTGGGTGTTCCATCCCTGGAAGCTTTGTCTGAAATGATATAGGGTTTTTTGTCCAAGAAGGGGGTTTCACTAGAAGTTTTCATCATCTCTTCCAAATATGTTTCTATTCTATTTTCTATAAATATCCTTTCTGCAGCTAGCCTCATTATTTCAAAACAATACCTATGTACAAGCTGGATTATTAAGATGTTTAATATTAATATGTAATTGAAATCAAGTCTCTGCCTTCTCAAGATTGCCCATTGAGGTCACAACTTCAGGCTATCCCATCAGTATATTGATTCCTGCCTCAAGCTTAGAATTGTTTAAATTTCTCTCATTTTTATTGTCTCTGCTGGCTGTTGCTATCTAATGGATTAATTGATTTTCAGTACTCCAACACTGTAAAAAAGGTTATTTAATACACACACCAAAGCTGAATTTAAATGTTTAACTCCATTTCATATTCAGCAATAGTTTACAGCCCTAGGTTTGTTTTTTTGTTTTTTTGACATTATTTCCCACCCTTATTTCTGAAGCTGAAGGGCACATTTAGAAAAATAATGCTGCATTTGTTTGTTTGTTTGTTTGATTAGAAAATCAGAATCACTCACTTAGTGATTCTGGAAGGGGAAAAAAATCAGATTAGCAATATTTACATCTTATCCCTCAAAACACTCTGGAATTTCTTAGGCTGAATAGGATAGGATATGATAAGATAGGTTAAGGTAGGGTAGGGTAGGGTAGGGTAGAATGGGATGGGACGGGAGGGGAGGGGAGGAGAAGAGAAGAGAAGAGAAGAGAAGAGAAGAGAAGAGAAGAGAAGAGAAGAGAAGAGAAGAGAAGAGAAGAGTTGGAAGGGACCTTGGGGGTGTTCTAGTCCCATATACCATTTCAGACAAATGGTTATCCAGTCTCTTCTTAAAAACCTCCAGTGATGGAGCATTCCCAACTTCTAGAGGCAAGTCATTCCACTGGTTAATTATTCTAACAGCCAGGAAATTTCTCTTTAGTTCTAGGTTGCTTCTCTCCTTGATTAGCTTCCACCTATTGCTTCTTTTCTTGCCTTTAGGTGCCTTGGAGAACAACTTGACTTCTTCTTTGGGGCAGCCCCTGAGATATTGGAAGGTCATCCCTAGTCCTTTTCATCAGACTAGACATATCCAGTTCCAGCAAC